TCAAACGATTTCAGCTTGAACTTATCAAGATATGAAAGGCAGTCTATGAGACTCACTTTAGCTCAAATAAACACCGGGAGCCCTGAACGTCTTTACCATCCAATAGTGAAGTGTCCTAAAGGAAACCATGCCCATCCGTTCCAGGAAAACCACTCCTTACAGCTGCCTTCTCGATATCTCACGATTCCAAATACTTTGAAGCTACACATCAACGCCCAGTCGACTGTGACTAATGCTCAGTAGCTGCCTTCACAGCAGAATGCCACGAGTCGTCGGACGGTTGATATCTTGGGAAGGACCATTTCACCCGCAGCAAAGCCGACGAAAGCTCCCCTGCAACTTTCCGTCGTATGAAGATATTTTTCAGCTGCTGTTTGCAATGGAAGGCATGATATTACAGCTGCAAGCGTTATCAATACTGAATTCGGACAACTGTGAAATGAAAAATACCTTGTGCACGGAAAGCCTTTGTAAAATACCACTGTCTGATTGCACATATCACCAGGCGAGCTCAATGCTAGTAGTTGCTCGATGCCTCTAATGCATTCATCCTTCCAAAAACCATCAACACTCCTAGTTTCAACAAGCTCATCCTTAAGCGATATGAAATGCCCGTCTGTACCCAGATCCGAGCAGGTCGCTGTACATCTGGCGTTTAGCAAGGAATAATAGCCCGTAGACGCAAAACGAAAAAAAGCCAGCTGTCAACGCCTCTGGCCGGTTAAAGTGCAGCGCAAACAGGGTTTGTCAACATGCTGACGGATAATGTATGGGCTTCGGGTGATGTTTGAGGCCGAGCGGCAGAAAAACAGGCCGACGGCGGCCGGCGCGACGGCTTGTGCGTGGCGTCATTCTGCCTGGAGCATGGCGCCAGATTCTCGGTGTCGTCGTCGTCGTCAGGGTGTCAGACCATCGACGTCGTCATCGCCAGTGTATCCTTATCATGGCGTTGGTCAGCTTGGATCTCAAAACGCACCGGTGTCAGGCTTGTCACGGATGCTATGGTGGCGGGAAACTGGTGAGCGAACAAACACCTCGCTTTAAACGGTCGAAGATATGGTGTGCAGCAGCACATGGAAGAAGAGTTAAAACATTCCATGATCTACCATCACAGGTGAAGTTGATCCTGTCCAAGACACTGGCCTGCGACGGCGGGGTTTCGCAGCAGTAATGGGGCACTGCTACAGCATGATAACGGACCTTCGAAACCTTCACCAATCCGCTAACGCAACCAATCAGCTCTTCGTCAATTCTGTCGCCATGCCGCACATCCTCTTCTTTAATTTCCTGCCAGCCCATGTGCCTTCAGAATATCCAGGCACACACTAACGGAACACACACACACACACACACACACACACACACACACACACACACACACACACACACACACACACACACACACACACACACACACACACACACAAAACAGCTGCGTAGAACAGTGCCGCCCACATGGTCTCACTTCCAGCACGTGCAGGGAAGTACCACTTCGAGTGGAGCACTGGAAAAGCCGTAGGCAATGAACACTGTCCTCCGGGCGGGAAGCACCACCCACGAGCTCATATACGGCGCTCCAAGGCATCTGTGAGTCATGGAATGACTCCGTGCCCCTTTTACGTGCAGTAACCAATGAGCATCGCAACTTGCAAAAGCGGAGCACGATTTCTTCATTGGGTGTCCAATGTTATGCGACTTTCTCTTGATCCATCATTTGGTGTTCATGATTGCATGCCTGCTTTTTAGCGCAAAATAAGAACAGCATCCAAAGCTTTGTGTATTACGGATAATGACCTACCTTTTAGACACAACAAGATATGGGCTGCCACATATCAAAAACTGGGGGAGAGCGGGAAACGGCGGGCAATGCTAGAAACAGTCAGGCTGGAAGAAACACTCACCCGGCACCATTTGTTAACGGTATATTTTTAGGACGCGCGAGGTCGCAAGGGAAGGTGGACAGTGCCACACGCTAATACTGAGCGAAATACCAGCATTCACTGGATAAAATTTCCCAGCATGGACAAGAGCCACGGTTAGGTTTACAATTGTTTCTGATAAAATACGATAGGTATTAGAACGTGAACGCGACCGGCATGGGCGGAGGCGCTCTTTGTGCTGTGGGAGACGGCAACAAGGTTTTCCATTGATAATCTAGGTCAGGATCTAGTTCGGAGCTTCTCAGTCTAACCTCCGAACTTTTAACGTGTGATATGACCCTATATTGGGAAATTTATGGCTTCACTTATATCCCGTTAACTGTTGAAGGTTTTAGCTGCTAGTGACAAACTCGATCTTTTATACCGGCCTTGTATTATGATGTTGGAAGTGGCATTGCCACACGCAAGGAACGTACGTCTCTATGGGTCGGTGATCATTCCGCTACGGTAGAAAATTATGACAGAACGAGCATTTAAATGATTCCGAAAATTTCATAGGCATGCTGCATTATCACCACAGCGTTGCTAGACTTCAACGTTGAAATGGCAGATTCAATTCCAGCACGCAAAGGTCGGAAATTGTATCACTATATCCATAGCTTAATGAGTTTGTATAGGTGATACGGTATTGCAAGAGGAAGTGCCCGGTCCTGATTTACAGGTCCAGCCGTAAGGTATGCCCACGTTTACGCTAGCTCCATGGCAGTTTTTCATCTTCACCCTAAGAAGGGAGCCTCAGAGGTCCCGCTGAGATCTCGGAAAAGTCAGCAAGCTAGAGCCACATGGAAAGCGGCACCAAACAGCTCTCGTCAAACGACGTCAGAAGAAGGTTTGAATAATAGTAGATGTGACTTTTGCTAGGTCAAAACAGGTCGTAAAAGTCATATTATCTGTTTACGGACCCCCCGTTACTTTAAGAATCAAGCATGCCACAACAATACAGAGCGTAGCATTCAATAGGTTTTGGAAAACACCATCTGTTAGACACCAGCAGACATCGACGCAGTGACCTGTGGTATGTCATATCAGGTAAAAGTGGCGAAAGCGATTGCTGCATTGACCCGTGTGGCTATACGAAGAACTAAACAAACGTAGCAAGGCGGAAAACGTGGCCAACAACCCCTTCTTCATCCGTAAAATAAGTACCATTGAGGTTTGAGTTGTAACCTTCAACCGATCAAATCAGGTTC